CTCGTGGGTGCACAGCAAGTGTTCTTCCCATTTGAGCCATCTTTCTAGCCCCATAATTTTTCTTGTTTAAAAGATAAACAAAACCAGAAAGTGTTTTTTGAGACAATTAGATTTGTTTTGAAACTGACAGGGTAAACCAGGAATTCATGTCCATTTTGCCAAGGGCAGGGATAACACTGAAGCCACCTACGAGACAATGACATCTTTCTTTGATGTCTACTGAGACATATGGGGGATAAAAATGTCATGTCTGGGATTTTCTCTGGAATATTTGATTTTTTTTTTTTTTAAGGGGCGAGAAGAGCTGGAAGTTCGCTCAGCTGTAGAGGCTCTTGTCTGGTATGATTGGGTACCTGGGATTGATCCTCAGCACTGGGAAACTTTTTCAAAATGAAAATCACCACTGAACACACCCTTGATGACTAGCATGTGACCTAACCAAGTGCCCTGAGGAGGAAGTTTGGGGGTGATTTGGGAATGGCTCTTTTCCAGGGCTCTCTCACGGTCTCCAGCTGCACACTAACACAAGTTCACTGTACACACTGGTACTAGGTACTGTCTTCCAGAACCTTGCCTCTCTTTTCCTCTTCACTTGTGGTCTTGACCATGCAAGAATTACTTCTAAGACATCGAAAGCCGGGCATCTCCCCCGGGCATCACGGCCACCATCATCTGTCTCACTCACAATGCTTCACTCATGGGCAGCAGGGAGAAAGCCATTTGGGGAGGTCGACCCAGTTTAGAATTCAAATTTACTCTCTGCCTCTGCAATTAGAATTTATTTCCTCTTCAAAAGACTTGAATTTCAGAGCACAATGCCTCCAGCCAGGCCTGGGTGTGTGTAGAGTGATCCTAATGGAGAGAAATTCTGGTTTATTTTCATAACAGCATGTACCTTGTGATATCCTCCGAGCCTGACATTATCAAGAGAGTGTTACCACAATGCAGCACAAATCTAAGGCAATTTGGATGTCCTTGGGCCCAGAATTAATATGTGCTTTGTATAGTCTTGTAATTTGGGAGGCAATTTTCCATAACACACCGAGAGATGCTCCTTTATACCTTTGAGATAATTTAGCTCAATGTTCATTTGGAAAAATTGCTGCACTAATAGCTCTCCAGCCACTGAACAACAGACCGTACTGGGAGAGTCTGGACAAAGGCTGGAGGAATTTTCCCCGGACCGGCGGAACAGCTGCCTGGGGTTGCATGGCCAGATCTGAAATAGTGTCTGAACTCATGAACTCTGGCTGATTGGTTTCAAACCAATAGCTCTTAATGGAGAGATGCAGAATAAAGGTGGGTGGGTGGGGGGATGTGATAATGAATCTCTCTATTGCCCAGGTAAATCTGATGTCAGTGCACATGAATTAGAACTTCTATAGGCTCAACTATGAGAACCATATGTTTTCCTAGCTGGACCTCTCGGGCCAGGCTATGAGGGAACAGGTGCAAACGAGGGCGTGTCTTGTCCCATGCTTCCTGGGTATCATGTGCTAGATACCCGTGTTGTTGAAGGAGTCCTCTATTCTTACCAGAATTTAGTGCAATGATGAAAAGAAATGAACTCCCCCCCCCCACCCCCCGCCCCATAATCAAGAATAGCACTTGCTTCCCTGTGAGTTGGAAGCAGGCTGGGGTTGCCTTTGGTTTCCCTGAGAGCATCAAGATCCCATCTTGGGTTAGAGACTCTGAACACCTCCACCAGCAGCAGACCCCGGGTGTTTCATCAATGTTGTCATTAGGTAAATGTCTGACTTCACGAAGGGGAGAGAGGGTTATAACCCCTTTCCATTTTCTATGCATCCGTAGTTGGCATTTGAAAACCTAACCAGGGTCTGGATGAGGATGGTTTGGTTCTCTTGGGAGCCTGGTTTTGCTTCAGAATCACATGGAATCTGGACCCAGGTTAAGATCTCCTGAATTTTTTGAACCATACTATTCTGGGAAAAACAAACAAACAAACAAACAAACAAACAAAAAAACCACCTGATGATTTCCCATTTTAAACACCACCATGCGCTCGGATGCTGTTTATGCTCAGGACTGCAGCAGGAGCAGACTCCCACATATGTTCATCTCCATGAAAAGTTAAGAGTACAAAGCACTCTTTGTGGCTAGCCTAGCACCTCCAGCCAGGACATACCTGCTCCTGACCTCTGGAGATGGCTCATACCAGATAAGCAGAATCTAACCACACCCTGGACGGAAATAATAGGGATGTAAAGGTGATGTTTTGAAAGCTTTTATGAAGACCATCGCTGCTGGTAAACATGACCTTCCCAAGTTCTGTCTTGTCTGTTGGAAGAAGAAAAGGAACAGAGCCCCGTTGTCCCTTCACAAGTATGTGACCGTCACACTGTGGATCACCACTACATTAATACTTATTTCAAGGTAACTTCTGCACTTAGACTAGTCTCCTCTTCCTCCCCATATTGGGGGATGAACACCAGGCCTTGCACATACTGGGTGGGCATATGGGTTGAACACACAGGCCTTGCACATACTGGGTGGGCATATGGGTTGAACACCAGACCTTACACATACGGGGTAGGCAATGCTTTGCCACTTGGCTAGGTTCCCAGCCCCTTTATTCAAAATTTTATTTAGAGACAGAATCTCATTAAGTTGCCGCTGCTGGCCTTGAACTCGCTCTGTAACTCAAGCAGTCCTTGGATTTGGAATTCTCCTATGTCAGTTTCCCAAGAAGCTGGGATTCCGGGTCTTATCACTAGGCCTGACTAGGGTAGTGGTTCATGACTTTCACAATACATCAGACCCACTAAAGAGGCCCTTTCTTTACTTTTTTGTGGTATCAGGGATCAAATCCAGGTCTCTATACATGCTAAGTACTCTACTACTGAGCTACATCCCTAGCCCACACTCACACAGCTTTAAAATACTCAGGTCCCATCCAGAGAGATTTTTAACTCAACTGTCTGTTACATGACTTGCTCTGATTTGTGTTTTAATGTGGGAATCACTGACTGAAGTCATCTTTTGAGTCAACATCAAAAGACAAAATGAGCCGGGCGGTGGTGGCACAGGCCTTTAATCCCAGCACTCCAGAGGCAGAGCCAGGTGGATCTCTGTGAGTTCGAGGCCAGCCTGGGCTACAGAGCGAGATCCAGGACAGGCACCAAAACTACACAGAGACATCCTGTCTCAAAAAAAACAAAAATAAAAAAAATTAAAAAACAAACAAACAAAACAAAAACCCAAAAAAAGAACACAAGGGGATAGGGGATGCTGGGCACTCAGGAGGCAGAGCCAAGCAGATCTCTGAGTTAGAGGCCAGCCTGGTCTACAAAGCGAGTTCTAGGACAGCCAGAGGTGTTATACAGAGAAACCCTGACTCAACAAAACAAAACAAAAGAACACAAGGGAGAACCAAATCATGCCTTTTGAGTGTGGAGGAGACAGACAAGATGTTGGTCGTCTTCTAGCCTCTGCTGGCATGGGTACCCTGCCTCTAAAAGTGCCCAAGCATCCTTGGGTTCCTCTGACACAGTGTCCTCCAGCTGCGATCAGTGGGGTACGGGCTCCGGCTTCATTATGTGTCTAGTTTCATAAAGTGAAACATTAACTCGTTTCCTTCTCTTATGGATTGTGGCGGGTCTGGCATGAGGATGAAGTCCAGTCACTCCTGGAGCAGAGTGTGGGCTGGGCTGGTTTCCTGTGTGGACAGGCAGGGCAGGGCCTGGATTGGGTGTGTCTAGGGAGAAAGGCTCAGGGTTCACCCTTGGCAAATGTTTAGCCAGAAATGCCTCTGCTAGTCTCTTTTCAATGTCCTTCTTTGGGAAAGCGAGTCCCAATGGTGCTTTGGAAAGACTCCAAGGAGACAGTTGTTGTACCCTCGGGCCTTTTTGGCGGAGGGGCAAGGGCCAGCCCAGGCAGAAGGCAGTTGCCTATTTTTAATTAAACTCTCAACTCTCAGAGGCTACTTGGGAGCAGACACCTGCTCTTTCTTTTCTTTTTCTTTTTTTGAGACAGGGTCTATGTAGCCCTGGCTGTCCTGGAATGGGTTATGTAGACCAGGTTGGCCTTGAACTCACAGAGAGTAGTCTGCCTCTAAGTCCTGAGTGCTGAGATTAAAGGTGTGCGCCACCATGCCCAGATCTTTATTTTCTTATCCTGAGTGTGGTCCTCAGCCACAGCCTTTTCCTCATGCTGACTGACTGGTACTTGCCCTTTTTATATGGAGTAAGCCGGGGCAGGGCAATGAGAGGGTCTGGGGAAGGACATTCAGCGCATCACCTCTGGACATTCGTCTTAGAAGGGCTTTGATTTAGCTAAGGAAAGCCCACAACAGGCCATTGCATCTTTCACAGGTTATACCATTGTCCTGTCTAGTTTTTATTGTCAACTTGCCACAGCCCAGAGGCACCTGGGGTGGGAGTCTCACTTGTGGGACTGCCTAGATTGTGCCTAGATAGACTGGCCTGTCAAGTCCTTCCTCCCCAAGAGGCCTCTGTCTCGGTGTTTAGCACACATCAACAGAAAGCAAACTTCAACAATATTTTCTGTGAACAGAAAAGGCTGAGACCACTACAGAGTCCTAAATTTAGATGTAAGAGGTATTTTAAAACAATAGTGGGTGGAGGGGGCTGGAGAGATGACTCAGCAATTGAGGGCCCTTGCTGTTCTTCTAGAGGACCCAGGTTCGGATCCCAGGAAGCGCATGGTGGCTCACAACCATCTGTAAACCCAATCCTAGGGGATCCAATGCCCTCTTTGGGACTCCTTGGACACCGTGCATGAATGCAGTCCAAAAACACAGAAGGAAAACACTCACAGACCTAAGATAAAATAAAAAAGCTGTATCTCCCCCTCCCCAGAGTAAAGAGCCTACTTTCAACAGACCTCAAATCTTTTTTTTTTTTGATTTTGCATTAATGTCAAGGTCTCACCTCCCCCTTTCCCAAAAAAACAAAACAAAACAAAACAAAACAAAACACCTCCAAACTCCAGTATTTTAATAAATTGAACATTAGAGAAAGTACTTTCATTGTTGTTTATTGAGAGAACTTTATACAATTTGGAATGGGTGCACTTAAATTATGTGACAGATCCCTGTAAAAAATGAGATGTCCCATCAACAGCACAAGTTCACTTTGACATTATTACAGTTACTATCTTAAAAAAATAATGTAAACAAAAATATGGATAAATTAACGAAAAACAAAAGGCAATAAAACCCAGACAACAAAGAACACATGAATTAGCCCATTAGCTATTACAAATAACTAACACGGAGTGAGGGAACCGCTCAGATGCCAAATCCTAATTGATTCTGTACCGCATGAGCAGAACTAAGGGGAACTGATGCGGATCTGATCCAGGAGGCCGAGAACACGCTGTACGGAAACCTTCTGCATCACCACACTCCTGTTCCTCACCTGCAGCCTTGACATTCTCCTCTTTTGCCATTCCCCAGAGACAGCGGATAACTGTTTACACTAGGAGCCTGACAGGCCACCACCAAAGGCGGAACACTCCCACGGCAAAGCCTGCTTCGGTGGCCTCGTGGACTCCCCAGGCTGCACACAGGGGACACCGTCATCAAGGTGTACCCCAGAGGCTTCCCACTTCCCATGTGGGACACAGGAGGCAAAAACCGAAAATCTTTCTACAGTAGAAGAAAAAAAAAATCTTTGTGTTGGTGTTACTTTTGAACTTAATAAACACCGAGTTGGTAGACTTTACATATTCAGTTCTGGGTAGCTAGTTTCTTTCTTGACCTTGGTGACATGACATTCCCCTGAGTTTGGTTAATGAAAGCAAGCAGAGAGTGGCTAGGAAACATAAAATATGGTCAAAACATCGTATGATTATGTCTTTTGTACTTCCTGGTCAAAAGTGCCAGCGGCGGCGTGGAAGAAACCGATGTGACATTTGAAGAGCGTGTGTGCAGTGTGAATCCCTTTACTTGTGAAGTTAAGGCACCAGGTTAAGCAAGGGTGCAGTGAGCACTGAAGAGCAGCCGGCCGGAAGAGCGAAGGGATCCATGGGTAGTTAGCTGAAGGAGCCTGGAGGCTTCCAGTGGGTCAGACTACATACACTAGACTATAAGGCACTCCTACGGGGAAAGGGACAGTGAGGGGGGAGCTGGAGGCCAGCTCTCTGCTAGGTGCTTTGTTAGCAAGAGGCCCACGCCTGGACCGTCTGGACTGGGGCTGAGGATGAAGGGCGGCGGCAGAGTCAAGGGAGGGGACAGGGTTGCTCTGCACTTCCATGGCTAGTTAGAGGGACCCAACTGTGGAAAAGCTGCTGCAGGTGTCTTAGTCATCTGGCCTGCTAAATAATGGGCTTTCTGAAAAAGATGAGCAGTCAGTGGCCTCTTTCCTCAGAGAGAGAGAGATTCCGGCACAGGAACCAGCGTTCCACTCGCCAGCGCTTCCCATCACACCAGAGCCGACTCCATGAAGCCGGTGGTCCATGCCATGATCACCAGGAGCCCATCTTAAGAAAACCTCTGACAGGTGCAGTCAGGCTGGGAGATGCCCCATGCTTCCTCTTTGATTTTTTTCTTTAACGGAGTTTTATAGTTTTATAGTGGTGTGGAGTTTTTAATCTCAGCCCCGCACCCACTAAAACATACCGGAAAGAAATTCTTGAGTCGGAGAGCACTGAATCCAAAGAAAGGACAGAACTGTCTACAGGAAGGGACTGGTGGGTGCTGAGACTTAACTGTCAAGACCGCTGTCCCTGTGACAGAGATCAGCATGGGTTAGCTTAGCTGAGGGGGTTCTTCGCGTCAATTGTAACCTGGGGACAGGCAGGGGGAAGGGGCAGGGCAGTGACCCAGGCTCCAAACGCCCACCATCAACAAGAGAGGATAAGGAGAAAGGTCAGTGGTCCAGCCATGCCGTGGAGGGCAGTGCCAGCTTTTTCCCATTGTCTCAAATTCCTGACTTCTCCACATTATTTCAGAAGATGAAAAGTAGTGTAGAAAACTCCCCACATAAAGCGGCACACATCTCCATTTAGCATGAGAAAAAAAAAATAAAACAAAATAAAATCAAGTCTGTGTTGGAACCAGGCAGTATTCCAACAAAGGGTCAAAGATCAGTTCTTAATCTAGCGATTTCAATAAAGCCTGGGAGGTGACAGAGGGCTAATCTGCAGGGGGAGGGGCTGGGCTCTCCCCAGAACGAACAGCAGCACGTGTCTCCACTTCCTGGATGGCAGCGGTCTGTGGAGTCGGTGCTCAGTGTGTGTGTGTGTGTGGCATCACTGTGGTCCTGCTCTCACAGGTAGTTTGTGTCTGGTGTTTTTTTGGCCCACAGAAAGAGAATGGACTTGCAAGGCTGGAAGCCGAGCTTCTTTAGGGAGGTGGAGAAAGAAACCCATGGGTGCTCACATTCAGTGCGCACACATGACAAGCAGAGACGAGGCCAGACCTCACCAGAGGGTGCCCTGGGACTTAGCCACAGTGACGGAGTGACGGAGACACTTGTTTGGGGGCAGATGAGGGGAGTCAACACTGGACTATCTCAGGACTGTAGCAGAACCTGCAAATCGCACTGTTGTCATATTCCCTTTTATTGGTAGGGCCAATTATAGAAGAATTAAGAAGTGGTTCCCTCTCAGCTCATCAAATGCGAAGGCTCCCAAAAGACGGCCCTTATTCAGCACGTCCAGTTTAGGGGGGGAAGCAGAGGGTTTCCATGGTCTTCAGATCCAGCTGCTTCCGACTTTGGGAACGGGCAGCCCTGGAAAGAACTCGCTCCCAACGCAGCTGACTGCCTCTGGAACACTCCGCGGCCTTCCCGCTGCAGTGCAAACCCCGGTCTATTTTAGGAACTGGCTTCCTGACGCTGAGGTTGGGTGCCAACACTTCCCCCAGGCTGGATGCTGTCACACAGGAGTTTCTGGCATGAGCAGGAGGGAATTCTTGTGCTGTACCAGGGAATGGGCTGTTTAGTGAAAAAGCAGTTCCCCAGACTCCACTGCCAGCTCCAGGAGATTAATGGGCCATTTTCCATTATGCTTTAACGTGTACGATATTTACTGAGATGGGATAAGGAGGTGGAAATCCACAGGCTTGCTTTTGTTTCGGTGGTTTCTAAGCAGTAGAACAATTACCTAACACTGCACCAAGTAATTTGTTAGACCTCAAAACAGTAAGGGCCTTCATGCACTCGATGGCATTCTGGGCTGAAAATAGCAATTTTGAATTTTCATGGTAGACCCAACTCCTAAACTGGCTCCACTGTGTCCTCTCAGATTTGGGTGGTGGTGGCAGAGATGGCTGTTGCGAGCCCAGGGCTGGCATGGACCAGGCTACCAGAGATACACAGCAAGAGAGAAAAGAGAAGTGGCAGGGACATGGCTCCAGGTCCAGATCGTTGACAGCGCATTTATCTTTTTCCCCTTTAAAAAGTAAAGCAAAAAGCAATGTCCGGGCAAAGTTCTTAGGAGCTCCCAAGGTCTGCACACACACACACACACACACACATACACACAGAGCAGGGCCCTCTAAGGGGACAGTGGGGACAACTCAGGTGTCTAGAGCAGGGATTCAGATTTCACCCTTGACTTGGAGCAGGTCTGACCTTGGGTACCTGTGAGTTCTGTACACAGGGCAAACCTGTGTGTGTGTGTGTGTGCGCTCAGTGTGCTGGGCACAGCCTCCCCGACAGTCAGAATCACAGATAGATGAATTACAGCCAAGTCAAAGTCGAAGCGGCAGTGACAGGGACTGGGGTGGAGAGAGAAGGCACTCTGCCACAGGAGCACATCTGTTTCCTAATAAGCAGGTCTATAATTCTCCCGTGAAAGATCATGTTCTGCTCTCCTCTCCGAGGCTGGAAAATATAAATACTGTATTTCACGAAGGGGGGGGGGGAGGAAGGGAGACTCTCAAATCTGTTTGCCTATTTTGCCAAGTGCTGGAGACTTCCCACCCTTGTCTTTCGTGAGCGACATTCCCTACCACTCCAGCGAGGGGGCGTCAGCCTTTTCCAAGAGTTTAAAAAAGGCACCGTGGGGTGTCTGGTAAATGGGGCCCTGGCCTTTTACCAAGTTTCATGCCTTGGTTACAGCTTCTAGGTAGCCAGGGAATAAACGCACGTGTAGCGCTGAACTTCGTGGTCTGGGGCCAAAGGAAACGGTGTGGGCTGAGAGGGGGATGCTCACCCCTGGCTGCACAAGTCCGCTGACTGTCTCCCAGGGGAGAGAGCGTCAAGAGCGGGGGCCTGCGGGGGTGGACATGGAGAGGAAACGGACGGACGCATGCTCAGTGAGCCAGCGTCCCCCCCAGATGCGAAGAGGGGGGACGATCCCGAAGGGGGAAGGAGGGAAGAACGGGCAGCATCAGCTCAGGGTGAAAGACAGACGAACGAACGAGCTACTTCCTGGTAAGGCAGCAGGCACGCTGGCCATCGGTTCCCAGCGCCGTCCCACCAGCCATCTTGGTCACAGTGATAACTACACACTCTTAGGAGGGGACTGCAGGGGGAGGACGCTACCCTCCAAAGGGCGAAGTGATTCACTTCTCGCGCCTACGACGACAGTGTTTACTTTTTTGTGTTACTGTAAGGTGGTAATTACGTATGTATATATCTACTTATTTCAATAATGTTAAATTCATGAGTTCTATTTACGTTTGGTATTTTCTTAATAATTTAGGTTGATATTTTTCAAAATGTTACTCTTTAATAATTGTATAACTTTTAAGTGTAAATAATTTTTTTTTAAATAATTAAAAACTAGTAAAGCCGGGGCAGGTATGTTGGCGCACACCCGTAATCCCAGCATCTGGGAGGCTGAGGCAGCAGGATCACAAGTTTGAGGCCAGCCAGGGATATACAGCCAGCCCCTTTCTTAAAAGACGCCCCATCCCAAACAAACACAACACCCAGGATACAAAAGCAGGAGGCGTCGCATGGACTGGTGAAGGGTCAAAAGTGCTCCGAAGGACAATGAGAAACACAACATTCAAAATGACAGGTGGGCACTGCCCATGCAGGCCTCCAGGAGAGAAAACATCGTGTCCCCCAAGATGTGTGTGGCGTACGCCTAGCAGTCTATGCACTGATATGCTTGAGGACAATCCCGGGACATTCCCTCCCGGCCCGCACTATGAAAAAGATAACCAACATCCTCCACACCGTGCTTGGAAACCTGTTCTTAGGATGTCTGTGCCCACTCTGGCAGGTAACCATCGGGCAGGGGCTGGGCTTCGTACCAGCAAACAGACAGAGGACAGGCAGTGACTGGCCACCGAGGGCCTTCTGTAGTCACTTTTCAGGGATTAACTTCAAACCCAGGGCGGCTCTGCTCCTCCTGTTTTCTGTTGGAGGGAGGGACCCTCTGGGTTTCTGCGGTGCGGCTCTGCTTTGTTGTTCCAGTCTCTGCCAAGGACTCCGGCGCCTGGAAGGATCCAGAAGCGCCGTGTTTTGTAGATTTCCATGTGCAGCAGATGACAGTGGTCTCTGCCTTGGTTTCCCTAGCAAAGGCTAAAACTCAGCGACAACCCCGAGCTTAGCCGTGGGAGATGCTTCTTCTGATGCCTGTGCGGCAGGAAGCCCGGCCCTTAGAGCCGGTGTGAGTGTAGGGGAATGAACTACAGAGCAATGTGTGTAAACCACAGTTGCCGGGAGCAAGCAGCTGAATTTCATGGCCAAGTGTAACCCAGCTATCTGGTAGGAGTTCAGCCGCGGGATCTCTGTGGACCTCTTGGACAGTGGGTTATACGAAGCATACGTATGGGACGTATAGGTGTGTATAATATAAATAAATAACTTAGATATCTACATCTAGCTGGAGGAGAAACAGCCTCATCTGCACGGGCCCGAGTGGCCCCGCGGGCGGTGGAGGGTGAGAGCGGCCCGGCCTGCAGTCAGGTGTTCTGGTAGGACAGCTCGAACATGGTGCACGCCTCCTCCAGGCTTTCGTCCACGTTCAGCTGGCGCCAGAAGGACTTCTGCTTCTTCTGCAGCTCCCGGCGGACGCAGCGCGGGCAGGGGACGGACTTCTCTTTGCACTCGGAATGGAAGACGGCGCCACAGCTCTCACACCTGCAAGAGCCAAGCATGAGGAAGGTTGGCAAGACAGCGGGGCCCAGCAGCCCCGGGGGACCCCCGCCGGGGGAACCCCGGGGAAGCCGCTTGTTCCTCCGGACATCTCCGTCCCTGGGAAGAGGCGTGACTGAGAGACGCGGGCTGCGTGCGTTTCCAAAGGGCTCCGCGTGAAGTTTCACTGGGGACACGGTTCTCCTGGGACTAGAGCCAGCCTCAGGAGACACTGGCTGGGGTGAAGGGGAGTCAACACTGACCCAGCGGAGGGAGGCTCCGTAGGCCAGTTTCCTCTCCACAAAGAAAGAAGAGCAGGCTGGATGACAGGAAATGGGGCCCTCCTGCCCGGGCCGCGGGAGCCCTGCGCTGTAAGCCGGGGCACAGCTGTCTACCTCAGCCCTCTTAACTCACGGCCTTTATGTGACAGCTTGGGAAGGCACGGGGGCCCATTTTCATCCACCTGAATGATGTCCTGGGGCCTATGACTCTGGTGTGCTTTTTAAAATTAGGAACACGCTCCCACCTTTCCAGGTCTACCCGTGTGAGCTAAGTGTGAACAAGGAAGAGTCAAAGAGTGGGCGAGAGGACATGTTCTCACCACCAGGGCAGATCGGGCGGTTGATGGAGAGGAGACATTCCCGGTGGATGACTAGCTGCTTGTCTGGCCTGCTGGAGTCTGCACAGGAGTCTGCCTCTGCAGCTTGTTTTCACTGTGAAGTTCTCAGTAATGACTAATGACCTTGGCTGCTCCAGCCAATGACCCGCTCATGTGCCCGGAGTCCTCATCCTGCCACACATGAGCTCTGAAAGGAGACTTTCTCCTCGCCCTGGGAGCTGCCTACAGGCTCTTATCCACCCCTGGACCGCTATCACATACATGCAGCTGTCTTCAGGGATCACCCTGGGCCTGTCTTGGGAACAGGGTGTCTTGGGACACCATTCCCAAAGGTGCCATTGTCTTACCTCCAGCACCATTGTGCAGGACTCAGCGGCTAGGCCCAAGGAGGATCTTCCCACCGACCCAGCCACGCCCTGGAGAGGAGGCAGTGACTTGGAAATTGTTGGGAAGGGGTCTGGTGAAGAGCTGGCCAACGGAGGCTTCCTACCGCTGAGCAGTACCTGCTCCCAGCTCAGCTCACTGTCTGAGGGGACAGTGGCTATTGAGATAACAGACGAGGAACTGTACATTGCTTCTCTATCCCTGACTTGTGTCCCCCTGGAGTTCCCATAAAGAAGTTCAAGCCCCCAAGGTGACGCCTACTGGTGACAGACTTCTTGGGTAATACTAGGGAACTAATTAAGGTAAGGGTGTGTCTCTGGTCCAATTGTCCTAGTGTCCTTAACACAAGAAGCAGAGCTCCTCAATATCTTAATGTCTCTTTCCCTGTGCACTAGGTGAAGCCATCAGTGAGCCAGTAGGAAATCCCTCATCAAAACCAATCCTGCCAGCACCCTGCTCTGCATCGTCCAGCCCCCAGAGCTGTGAGCATCACATCTCTGAACCACCCAGCCTGTGGTATCTGGTATGCTATCCGTGCAGACTGGCTGATGCCCTGGAGCTAGTGACCTCACCTGGTGAGCGTCAGTGTCTTCATTGGCTTAGTGGAGATAACATGAGCGGCCATCGCACCAGGACGCTGCCAGCTTGAATGAGATCATGGGTAAAGTGTCTAACAGCTCCTGGCACAGGATAAGCTCAGGTACCCCTCAGGCATTTCTGGGAGGCCTCTGGGCAGCCTGACTTCTCTGCGTGCCCTGGATATCCACATCAAGCCCCTCATTTCACAGAGCAGAAAACGAAGCTCCCCAAAAGGCTAGTGATCGTCAGGGAGAGCTGGAGATAGAGTTGGCACTAGACCAGAGCTACTGGCACCAGCCAACGTTCCCACTGGTGGCCACAGCGCTGGCTATCTGAGCGGGTCTATACACTACCAGTGGGGGATGCAGAGTTTTGAGGCAGGATGCCAGTATCAAGTCACTAATGTCTCTGTAGCTGGGCTATCCTAGGTGGACTGTTACTTTCTTCGTAAATCAGTTTCCTCCTTTCTAGTGCTGCTGACCATGACTTCTTCCTAATCACTGGGTTGCTATGAGACTACAATGAGCAAATAAGGCGGAAGGACCCTGCAAACTGAAGTGATAGAGTCCCTTCCAGGTGACTCTGACGCTCGCCTCCTGGACACGGGCTGTGCTGTACGCAGCTGGGCCACCTCTATGCTCGCCCTTCCCCTCCCGCTCCGCTCCTGTCAGTCAGGATGAAGGTCAGAGCCAGGTCTCCTGGTGCCTCGGTCTGGGCGAGCTATGCCCTAGTGGCAGTGGCTTTGTCCCCACTGGGTCACACCTCGGTAAATTCCTATCATTCAGTGACACTAATGGCAGCTTTATCAAATGCATTTCCTCCAGAGCTGGTCATGGATTTATCCACCGAGGGGCGTGGCCCCAAGGCAGTGACTGATAAGGGGAAAACACCCTGCTCCCCGGTACCACTCCCTTATCTTGGCTGATACCAGGCCTGCAGTGAGGGAAGAGATTGAGTTTTATCAGATATCTCGGGTGCAAAAAAAAACACCCCCAAGAGTGATGGGGGACTAGTGCACCTGCTTGGCCCAGCCAAAGGTCAATAACTGAAAAGAGTATGAGATAAAGAAATTAGTGAGTTCCAAACAGAACCGAGTCTTATTTTCTAACCATCTGTAACCCTGGAGGCATTTTTCAACTGTGCTATGGATACATGGATCAATGACATTCCCAAATTCTGTGGTTAACCAGTTGTTAGCTTCCACCTGCCACGCTCCCTGTTTCACTCTAGAGAATAACTGCAAGCACAGTGCACGTGCATGGTGGCGCACGCCTTTGCTCACAGCACGCGGGAGGCAGAGGCAGGTGGATCTCTGAGTTCGAGGCCAGCGGGGTTTATATAGGGAACTCCAGGCCAGCTAGAGTTACGCAGTGAGACCCTATCTCAAACAAACAAACAAAAAACAACAACAACAAAATGGTAGAGAAAAAGAAAAAGAAAAACCTGCTCTTGCAATCCGAGTGTGATGTGAAGGGAAAGTAAAGCCCTTGAAACAGACAGTTCTGCTCTTCTGGGGAACGGGACTCTGCTAAAGGGGGGGTCGCTCTTAGAAAGACGGTCGGCCTCTAGGTGTCAACTGGTCCTTGACTATTTTAAATGTACTCAGGAGGGTAAAGTGTGTGCAGCCTCTCCCTCTGTGCTGAGGACCAGAGTTGACTTCTAGCCCCCATATGGCAGCCCAAGCCTGTAATCCCCCGGGAGGCAGAGACTAGAAGATCCGAGAAGCTCACAGGCCAGCCAGTCCAGACAAACCGGTGAGTACCAGGCCACCGTGAGAGACCGTGTCTCAACAATGAAAGTGGATGACTCTGAGGAATGATCCCTGAGGTTGATCTCTGACCCTCACATGTACCATGGACACATGTGCACCTTCATGGACATCCACTTCTCCACATAAAACAAAAAGAAAGGAAGATTCACCCCACCCACCTTTTCAGCAGCGTGTCCTTTACAGGAGGCAAATCTACCATTGTAATGATCTCTTACTGGACGCTGCAACAGGGGATGAAGGGAAAGGTCCCACATCAGATGATGGCCAGGGTCTTCAAGTCTGAATCCCCTCGCCAAGCAACAACTCTCTGGTTGTCGCAGCAAACCACCAAACATGAAGTGTCTTACAGAAAGCGACCAGGTACAAGTGTTGGCTACTGAACAAAGGCATACAGAGGATTTCCCATTTCTTCTTCCTATGTGCATCCATTGCCTCATTAATCTAGGGATCTCAGCCTCAGTGCCACTGACAGTTTGGGTGGCATTTTCTTCAGTGCAAGGGGCTGTCCCGTCCCTGTAGGATGCTTAGTAGCACCCCTGGTCTCAGAGCACCCTCCCCCAACCACTGAGCTGTGACAAGTATCTGTGGGGGTCAAAATAATATCTGCTGAAAACCACTGACCTAATTCATCTTGAAACACAGAAGTCACAGAGGAGCGCCCGATGGGTCACATGGCAACCCTACCTCCTGCCTGCTGGCTTACACTCTTGTCAACCAACAAGGTCCAGCTCGGTGCTCTTACCCATGTCAACGTCAAAACAATTCATTTTCAACAAAGCACGTGATCAAAACCCCTGAACAAACAGCTACTAATCACCCTGTTGTTTCTGAAGTTATTGAGAACATCATTTAGGAAGTCAAGGAGTTTGGATGTAGGTCAGCGGTAGAGAGCATGTCCAGTAAGACCCTAGGTCTGATTCTCAGCACTGGGAAAGAGAAAGGTCAAGGGCCAGATGTGGTACAAGCCCAGCATTCAGGGATGCTGAGGCAAGAAGGTGTAAGACTGAGACTCTATTTCCAAAAGTAAAATCAAATCAAGCTTGATATCAACACCCATGATAGAACACGGTGAATCGTGTATCCCTCAGTAACTCAACTTTTTACCAACTCACAGTGGCTTTTCAGCTGGACCCCAGAGCCATCCTGGTCGGCTGGCTTTATTTGCATTTATTTTGTGTGTGTGTGTGTGTGAGAGAGAGAGAGATTCTCTGGGCAATTTCTCTGTGGCCTTCCTATACCTTCCTGCTTTACCCAGACATCTGGCAAATCAAAGGCATTTTGTTTTTTTGGCATGTACTTTATAAAATAGATTGCTTTTGTGAGCTGTGAGCTGCCTCAGCAACTTCTGCTGTGAAAGCAGCAGCGGAGCCCTCAGGAGGCCGCTACTTCAGAGGTGAGAACATCGTCGAGGAAGGGGCCTGATGTCTCCGTTCAGCGTGGCGCTCATGTCACGGGACACCGGGCAAGTCACTCTGCCTTTGAGCCTTATTCTCTATAGAGCTTGGGTTAGATGGTGGCTAAAGTATCTTCCACCTGCAGACTTGGGGGGTGGGTAGTAGACGGTATTCTGGGTACCTGTACTCCCCTCTCCCCATGCTCTGCTCCATGGTCTGTAGGGGAGTGCACTGGCTACTTCCTCCCCAGAAAGTCACA